TAGAGGATAGAGGATAGAGGTAGAGATAGATGTGTACGTGTGTCGTGCCGGCTCCTGCCTGGGGAAGGTCAGCACGATAGCGCATGGACACATGTTCGAAGAAGATCTTGCCTCATCGTCGCACCAGAACAATGCCATGGTGAAGCACGGCGGTATCATGAGTTCATCACTGGCTTCAAAGCAGTCATCGCGCACATGACAGGCAGAATGCTGCAGACCGAAGCCCGCCAAGGCCCATGCGTGCATGGAACGGATTCAACTCTCAACAGCCCCAAAACTCTGAAGACGCATCGACTCGGCATCACAAGCTCCGCTCCGCCTTCCAGTGGCCAGTCCTGGGGCGGAGGCCTGCCCTCCACCGCCTCGGTAGGAATCACCGCCTGAAGACAAACGAAGCTTCGGCGTCAGTATCACAACGATGAGAAACCGAGAGGTGATGGGAGCCTCGAACTGCGCTAGCCGTTCTGCTGCCACAAGCTGGTTCTCCGCCTCGATGGAGAGTCGGATGCCTTGGCTTCAAGCTCAGCTTTGGGCCGACTGACATCAGCCGGGTCGCTGCCGAGTGGCAGAATTGCAGTTTCCCTCTCCTTGCAAGCAATCGCAAAGCCTACTGCTCATTGAAGTTTCAGAGTGTGGGCCAATCCAAAACTTCAGATTGAAGACGTGTCTCGTCATCAAGGCATAGGAGATGGCCATCGTGGAGGTGCTGGCCTGATGGAGAACGCAGATGCAGATGTCCCACGACAGCAGTATTCCTCAAAGACTACACCACAGCTGTCTGACATGGATTAGTTACTACGGAATACTTACCAAGCCAGTGCTTCCATGTTTAGCTTTCAGATCATTACTTCGTTCATTCACTAAGTAATTAAATCGAGCAGTTCCTTCAGTCCCAGGGGCTGGAAGACTGTCACGGAGCAGGACGCAAAACACGGAGGCGATGCAAACAATGCAAGATCCCAGGCTGTCCAGGACCAGGATACCTCTAGTCTGGAGCTGCACATCCCTCTCTTTGCCCAGATCTTGCAAGTCGAGGCACACCAGGGCTGGAGGATGTAGGTCTGGAAGAAGACCTGCGACACCGACTTGGGGTCTCCAAGTCACCCAAAGCTCTCCGAGCCTTGCCGTTCCGGTCGAGAAGCGTCTGGAACTGGTGCACCAAGCTCTTCTGCTGCCCGTGTGCCCGCCTTCGAGTCGCGGAACTTCTCTGCTATTTGGGGCCGTTTCTCATTGCTATTCGAGGCACAGGGTTGCCAAGCCGTCCGCCACGTCGCCCATGGCCTCTTCCAGCAAGGATCCACACGTCTTTAGCAGATGCAACCGGCATGGCTGGACTATCATCCCTCCGCTCCCTCCCTCCACGGGCCGAGTAAAGCGGTGCCCGTGTCACGCCATCGAGACGCTTGGCCTCGCGCGCAGTGCCTGGCAGCATGCTGTCATGCTATCTTTGTCGGTGCTGTGACAAACGCAGTGAAATGGGGGGAGCACCGGGGAAGGCCCCTCAGATTTAGTTGCAGATCCTCGCACTGATTTTGTGTTTGAAGGCCCAACATTTCGAGCAGCCTCTGAAGCCAGACACTGGAACAAGGCATGTGAATGGCGAATGTCGCCCGAATATCAGGAAGATCAATCAACACCATCAAGAGCTATCAGCCATCGTCGCCCTTATCACCATCATCACCATCTCCACCAACCGGCAGCATCGGTGCCACATGCTGCCACCAAACTTCGGCACTGGGCTGCCGGCGGCTGAAGAAATGCCGGATCTTGTAAAAACCGAACAAGACCTCGGGTTCCGCGGCTTCCGAAGCCTCTTCAGGCACCAGGCCTGGCCCTCAGTGCCGGGCCGGGACGACAGCAACTGCGGCAAAAGGCGTGGACCAGACGCACACGACCACAATGCCCAGGAGCATTGTTATGTCCTAGCGAACGCGAAATTTTTGGGGTATGGGCCTGGCAGTGCAATGAGCTCAAGAGTAGCCTGCCTGCAGGAAGTCCAGCAAGTACTGGGGCAGGAGGGCATCCACGGCGTCCAAGTCCTTCGAGAAGTGTCCCAGGATGCGCCCACGCGGTGTGGTGTCAAAGAGCCCGATCGGAGCTGACATCAGCCGCGCCAGAAGTCGGCGATGAATGTTCTCTGAGGACTTCAGCGCCACATAGACCACCAGCCAGCCCCGTAGAAATGCACCAAGAACAGCCAGCATCACCCACAAGCAGAACGTCTGGAAGTCGCTTCTAGACTCTTCCGCAGTGTTTGTAGTATCCCGGGCAGCCCAGCTACCCATGAAATGGTCGGAATAGATTCGGAGACCTTCGACCGAGAGCATGCTCGTGACAATGAAGCATGCCTCTGCGCGACTGCTCCGAGCATTCCAGAACGTCGCCTTCCTCTGTGAAACAGTCGCTGCCTACATCAGACGGTGGCCGTGCCTGGATATCGGCCAAGGTCTGAAGGCAGGCCTCCCTCGTAGCCTTGGAGCAGTCCGCTATCCAAGCATCCACGCTGTTGTACACGGATGCCCGCCCTTGCTCCATGTTCACGATCCGGGAGGCCGCTCGCAGGGCCACAAAGTTGGAGTTCATGACCATGACCACGGACCTCTGACCCTGCAGCAGAACACCTGGGCTGGGATTTGCAGAGCCCGAGCAAGATTTTGTCAAAGCCCCAACCGCACCGGGCCTAGCAGGGCTTCTTCGCAAATGGCCCTGGCCACGTGTGGGTCCACGGCTGCCAGGCAGTCGTCCAGGAGCACAACCCGCACTTCCGAGACCAGGCAGCCTCAGAGACCAGCTCTCGCGGCCGCTCTTTTCGGCACGACGTCTCAGCGGTCAACGCACGAACCGAGCTGAAACTATTCTCAGCAAGGAGTCGGTACAGGACGTGCGCGAGGCCCAACCTCTCACGACGCAACAACTTCTGCAGCAAAACTTCGCAGCTGCTTTCCAACATCGCAGAGAGGAAGGTTCTGCTTTGTTCTGCTCCTCTCCTCCTCACTCAGGAGGAACTTCCCTAGGCTGACGTATCTACTCATTACGGTCTTGGTGTTGCCTGGTCCGCTGGCCGCCACTGAGCGTTGCACCGCGTGCACCCACGGCGTGGCGGTCTCCACCAGGCCATTCACCTGAAAACAGGTTTGTCATATAGGCAGCCTCTTCACAGCTCTTCCGGAAACCTGAATCTTAGCACCCCTTTGTTAAACATCCATGAACACTAGTATAGAATCTACCGTCTCTTCTAGCCCCGGTCTGTTCTGGCCAGATTGCGCAGGTCTGGGCCGAGCTGGGCGGCGCGGATCGCGTGCCTGAAACTCTCAGCAGACTCGGAGTTTCAACACAACCGGTTCATCAGGACCAAGTGGATCTGGCATTGGCTTTTGTAACATGGTGCTTCTCTCCGTCCGGCGTGTCGGGACAGTTTGGTTCACGGTTTAGCGTTTAGGGTTTGGGACTTGTCACTTATACTTACATACGGCCTAGAGGCCCAAAGGGCCTCGGCTAGGAAGTTCAGCTCCTTGGGCGGCTTCGGAGGATTCACAGCTCGGCTCTGGCCGCTCTCACAGCGAATCCGATGAATTCAGCACAGTCATATATTGTCATAGTCAGGGACGGGGTGCCAGTACTGCTTCTCATCAAACGGCAGTTCTTGAACCACCACATCCCGAACTGTGCCGCTGCGGATCCATGGCGACTGGGCCAGGTAGGCCACGCCTGATTCGTGCTTCCACTGGGGAGAACCAACAAGCTCAAACTCATAAAGGCCCACGCGGACCAGAGACAAAGGAAGAAAGAAAGCAAGGAGGAGGTACTGTAGTACTGTAAAGCAAGGAGGAGGCACTGTAGTACTGTAGAGTGACAGACAGGAACAGAGATCGAAGACTGCGAGCAAGCGTCTCACGACTTTTCTTCTGACTGCTGACCCAACTCAGCTACAATGGTAGCAAAGTGGCCTGTCCGTAAAATGAAGAGGAACTGCTGTACTACGGCAGCCGAAGACGTTCCCTCCAGGGCCACCTGCAGGCAGCGACTGGCGCCCGGCAACTCGACGGAGTTCGCCCAGAAGCCCCAGCAGCAACCTGCAGAAGAGCTGGGCTCCAGGTTCCTCGACGGGTTGGCTGCAGACGAGTGGCGAGGACTTTCCCGAGGCCACTCGGCCACAGACCGCCAGGAGCTCGCCTTCTCTTCAGGCGCATGTCCGAGGCAGAAAAACACGAGGAAACTGCGAGGCCGCAAACCAAGGCCCCGGCCAGGCTGGAGGGTCAGGTCGGCGCTGAGCTCGAAGGCTTCGAAAGAGCTCTCTCTCGGGCCGTGGCCGTGCACGAAGCTTCCCTTCAGCTCCGCCTTTAAGGAGACATCCTTCTCCACAGCTTCGGGCTCCTGAAGCTGAAGGTCCTTCTCGTACAGGTCGAAGGCTTCTTGGCTTCAGCACAAGGGGCACAGCGGCCGCGAGTGACTCGTGCATCTGGGGTCTGGAGTCTAGCATCATGCGGCTCACCTTGCTACTCTATCTACTCTTACTGATGCACAGTCTGTTCCCATAGCATGGCCGGGCGTCGCTGGCTTACGAAAGCGTTCAGACGGCGAAAAGCCGCAAGCCCATCCACAACAGCCGTGAAGCCCATCGCCACGCCTCCGAGTGGAGCACGCACCAAACCAACGGTGGTGAATATCAGGAAGACTCGCTCTGCAGAGAGCTCTTTGTCCTGCGCAGCAGATGGCTTCTTGTTGCTCGGCTTGATTTGTTGCGAAACTGCGAATGTAAACATCATGAATGACCCCGCCCTGCTTTGCAGGGGTGGCTTCTGCAAGCTCCCCTTGCAGGCCGAAGGAACTTCCTATACGATCTCTGGCAGACTAAAGTGGGCAAGCAAATGCAGGCAAAGTGCATCACCTACATCCCACCCACAATGTACAAACCGCCCGAGCATGCTCGAATAAGATATGTACCTTTTTACTTAGCCGGTACATGAGCCCGCAGAAGAACTCAAGCCATGTCTCCTGTA